TCCGCGTACTGTTTTTTACACACAGGATGCCCGGAAAATCCCGGGAAACGACTCTCGCTGAGGCGCCGGCGTCATTTTTTCCCCAAATGCTGCTCTCGCGCCGGCGTCATTTTTTCCCAAAATGCTGCTCTCGTTGAGGCGCCGGCCTCATTTCTGCTCCCGAATCCTTCCTCTGATGGCGTCCGGGTGATAGCCGCGCACCCTCCGCGTACTGTTTTTTTACACACAGGATGCCCGAAAAATCCCGGGAAACGACTCTCGCTGAGGCGCCGGCGTCATTTTTTCCCAAAATGCTGCTCTCTTTGAGGCGCCGGCCTCATTTCTGCTCCCGAATCGTTCCGAATCGTGCTCCCGCTGCAGCGTGGGCCTCATTTTCGGATCGGTGTTTGGCCTCCGTCGTTCAGGATGGCGTTCTCGCCACAGCGCGGGCCTTTTTCTCGCGCGCCCATTCGCCCGCCACCACCGCGCCGCACCGCCACACCACCACCACCACTCACCACAACCACCACCATCACCAGCACCAGTACCAACACCTCCACCACCCACCACCACCACCACCACACCACCACCACCACCATCACCGACCTACCACCACACCACCACCACACCCACCACCAGCACAGCACCAGTAACACACCACCACCACCAACACCACCACCACCACACCACTCACCACCACGCACCACGCATCACCACACACCACCACCACCACCACCACCACCACTACCACCACGACAACAACGCACACACGCACGCACGCACGCACGTGCACCACCACCCACTACGCACGCGCGCGCGGAGCCACAGGTCCGCTACGACACGCGTCCGCGGATAGAGAAAATCAGCGCCATGGTAAGGGATGGGAGGGAGGGGTAGAACGTCAGATATGACGCGAGCGCACCTAGTTTGTTCCTCCTCCCCCTCCCCCTTCCTCCTCCTCCTCCTCCTCCTCCTCCTCCTCCTCCTCCTCCTCCTCCTCCTCCTCCTCCTCCTCCTCCTCCTCTGCCCCCCCCCACTGGACACGGAGGGCAGCTCGGGGCCTCCGGGTCGGGTTGGGGCGCCTTGGGGGGGCGGTGAGCTGCCGCGGCTCCCCGGACCTCTCCCGGGGCGCGTCCCGGCCAGGCTTCAGGGAGGAGAGCCCGGCCGTGGCGGCGAGGTAAAACGACGCGAAGATCGGGACAAACTCGGATCGGGATGACTCGAAATCTCTGAATCGGCGGGTTTGGAGGACGTATTGGGCGCCGCGGCCGCTCTCAGAGCGTTCGGGAACGCTCTGAGAGCGCTCCGGAACGCTCTGGAGCGATTTATCCCGATCCTAGCCCTGTTTTACGAGGGCCCCCCCGTGCGTGCCCGGCCCCCGAAAGGGAGGGCGCGGGAGCGACGGAGGAAAGAGAGGGCAGCGGCAGCGGCAGCTTCTTCCCATCTGGTTCGGCGGCGACGATAGGGGCGAGTAGCCCAGGAGCGGGCATTACACGTATTCGCCCGGGAGCCTTCTCGAAGACATGGTACATCGGCGCACCTGAATACATGTATTGCTCTCCCCTGGGCTATTCGCCCCTGTCGTCGCCTCAGACTGGTGGCCACGATGCACAGGTGCTCTCTCAGGCCTCCCCGGCGGCCACAGTGGTCTACTGGGGCAGGCAGGTTTCAGTCGGGCCCGTCCTCCCACAGGGGGATTTTGGGCGAACAATTAGAAATACCCCAAAAACATTTGCAAATACTCAAAAAATCGTCCCCTGACAATGGTTTAACTATTTTTGGATACCCCTCCTGTAGAGGGACAGGCCCGACTGAAAGGCAGGCCTTGGTGCAGCCGTGGCGACGAGGGCCCCCCCTTCTGTGCGGCCCCCCAAGAAGAAGGCGCGGGACCGACGGAAAAGAGAGTGCAGCGGCATCGGCAGCTTCTTCCACCCCGGTGACCACGATGTAGAGGTACTCGCAGGCCTCCCCGGCGGCCACAATGGTCTGCTGGGGCAGGTAGGTCTGGGTGCGCACGAAGCGCCCCACGAGCTCCAGCACCTCTGGCCGCTCCTCTCGGGGGGGGGACGGGCGGGCCCGGGCCAGCGCTGCAGCCCTGGGCCAGCCGAGGGCCACGCCGGGACCCCGGGCCGGCTACGCAGCAGCTCCAAGACTTCGGTCGGGCCTGCCCCACTGCAAGGGGAATCTTGGCCCCCCCCAAAAGTATGCCCCCCAAAAGTACTCCCAGAATGCTCAAGAAGTGGTCCAAAAATTGTCCCCAGACTGGTTTTTTTTACCACTTTTGAATATTCTTCCTGTAGAGGGACACGCCCGACTTAAGAGAAGCTCCAAGACCTGGGCCAGCCGAGTGAGTGGAGGTGGGGACTGCTCCACGTGACTTCGAAACGCGGACCATCCAGATGGGATCCGAGGGGATTCGCGAACACCGTATCTCCTCTGTTTCCACCACGGCGTCCCTGGACACTTCATACGGGCCAATTTGCCAGGCCGGTGACTGCACGCGAGCCCCGACCCTCGGACCTGAAGTTGCCAAAGAATGCACCAGCGGAAAAAAAAATCGCGACTGGAGCCCGGGGACCCCATCGTCCGCCGTCAGTCTTCTGGCTGGATCGATCCGTGAGGGTCCCCGAGGCCCGAAACTGGGCGAAGACGCCCTTTGTGAAGAAGCTGGCACGCCAAGATCTCAGGGGAGGCGGGGGGGAGTCTGGGCCACCGCCGCCCCGATCCTTTAGAGGCCTCCCAAATGGGGTCCGAGTAGACGGGGTCGAAGGATCGCGCCGCATCACCAATGCATCGGCGATGCGTGGGCGATGCATCGGCGACGTCGGCGATGCATCGCCGCCGTCGGCGTGGCGAAACCCTGGCTCCGCATCGAGCCGCATCGCCGATGCATCGGCGATGCGGCGCGATCCTCCGACCTCATCTACTCGGACGCCATCTGGGAAGCCCAGAGCCCCGATCCTTCCAGAGGGCCGTCGAGTTCCGCAGCCGGGCCTGCGGGTTCTCGTCCAGGCCCCGCCGGAGCGCCGCGGCACGCGCGCGCAGCTCCTCCACGGCGCCGCCGGCGCCAGCCTCGCGCGCCCCCGGGACGAGGAGGCCGCCGCCGCCGCCGCCGCCGCCGCCGCCGCCAACGACGACGACGACGACGACGACGACGACGACGACGACGACGACGACGACGACGACGTGAGAGGCAGAGCGGCGACCCGCTCACCGCCGCCGCAGGCCGCCGCCGCCGCCGCTGCCAATCTCGCCGCCCGTCGTTGCCGCAGGCCGCCGCGGTCGCCGCCGCCGCCGCCGCCGCCGCCAGGAGGACCCAGAATGGAATCGATAAGTCGGACCAACGATCGAAAAAAGTCGGATCGGCGGAGATCGGCGGCCCAGTCGGGAGAAGCCGAACCGGCGGAAAAATCGGCGGGCTAGCAGCTAAGGCCTCCTTGGAGAACCCGAAGCCCAGAGAGCGGACTCCGAGATCGCATCGAATCGCAATCGGCAAGGACCAGAATCGAACCGAATCGAGTCGGGGGGGTCGAAAGGAGCCCCGGGGGCTGGAGCGGCGACCCGAATCGCAATCGGCAAGCACCGGAACCGAACCGAATCGAGTCGGAGGGGTCGAAAGGAGCCCCGGGGGCTGGAGCGGCGACCCGAATCGCAATCGGCAAGCACCGGAACCGAACCGAATCGAGTCCGAGGGGTCGAAAGGAGCCCCCCGGGGCTGGAGCGGCGACCCGAATCGCAATCGGCAAGCACCGGAACCGAACCGAATCGAGTCCGAGGGGTCGAAAGGAGCCCCGCGGGGCTGGAGCGGCGACCCCAGACCCTCGACATCATGATTTTTTCATGACGCGACCATCAGAGGTCTGGACCCATTCCCCGGGACCGACTTTTCATCCTGAGTCGTTTTTTGACGGTCCTGAGGGCCGGTCAGGGCCCCCGGAGGCCAAAAATAGCGAAAAACCTCGCGTCGTGACTTTTTCATGACTCGAGGGGGTCTGGGACCCGCCCGCCGCCGCCGCGGGTCGCCGCCCGCCGCTGCCGCCCATCGCCGCCCATCGCCGCCGCGGGCCGCCGCAGCGAGCGCAGGCCGCCGCAGCGAGCGCCGGCCTCGGGCGCGGCGCCCCGCGGCCCAGGCACGCGCCACACGACGCAGCGCGAGGTCGCCGTGAGCGTGGCGGCGTGCGCCGCGGCAGCGTCGAGCGCGGCGCCCTCGTCGAAGTAGGCGGGGGCGCGCACGGGCGTCCTCGCGGCCCGTCCCCGAGAGCGCGGGAAAGGGGAGGCCTCCCTCGAGGAGGAGGAGGAGGAGGAGGAGGAGGAGGAGGAGGAGGAGGAGGAGGAGGGAGGAGGAAGGGAGGAGGAGGGAGGAGGCAGGACGGAAGAGAGGATGAGGGATGAGGAGGAGGAGGGAAGGGAGGAGGAGGAGGAGGAAGGGGAGGCCTCCCTCGAGGGGAGCGGCTTCTCCTCGGAAGGCGGGGGCCTCCCTCGAAGGAGGGCCCCCGCGGGGGGCCCCCGGGGGAGGGCTTCTGGAAAGGGCCTCCCCGCTTTCGGAGGAGCGCCCGGCCTTCTCGCGGGGCCGGCACACGCACGCCACCCCCCGGGTGCGAGCAGCCGATCATCAGACCTGCGACGCCTCGAGCACACGAGACGAAGAGCTTCACGCTGTCGGCAGTGGCTGGGTGCCGGGAAAGCCAAACCTCAAAAAAGAACGAAGCCTCGGTCCTCGAACGCTCCCTCACGTTGCATCCTCGGGGGACCCCTTCTCAGTCCCATCACGTCGCGATTCGCGTCGAATCCACATCGAATCCACGGATCCAGGTAAAATCCACGCCGAATCCGCATCGAATTAAACGTCGAACCTGCGTCGAACCCACGTCGGGCACAAGAGAAGTTTGAAGTCCGCAATTGACAGGGCAGACAAGTCGGCTAGCCAAGGGTATCCTTGGACAAAGTTGTCCCCAGCGCTTCGCACCATCAAATCCCTTTGGGGTCCCCAGGGCATCGTGAGGGGTGCCCTGAAAGCCATCTGGGCCTCCCAGGATTTCCTGGGGACACATTGGGCAAGGGGTCTTACGTTGACCGTTCCTCGGAGGTTCCCAGGTTCCTCGGGTTCCCCAAGTTTCTCGGGTGCCTCAGATTCCTCGGGCTCCTCGGGTTCCTCTTCCCCAGGTTCCTCGGGTTCCTCGGGTTCTTCGGTTTTCCCCAGGTTCCTCGGGTCCCCCCGGTTCCTCGGGTTCCCCGGGTTCCTCGGGTTCCCCGCAATGCCCCGAGCATTGCCCCGAGCAGTGCCCCAAGCAAATCGAAGCAGTGCCGAGCAGTGCCCCGAGCAGTGCCCCGAGAGCAGTGCCCCGAGAGCAGTGCCCCGAGCAGTGCCCCGAGAGCAGTGCCCCGAGAGCAGTGCCCCGAGCAGTGCCCCGAGCAGTGCCCCGAGAGCAGTGCCCCGAGCACTGCGCCCGTGCCACAGGGAGCTGCCCCCGAAGGCGGGCCGCGCGGGGCTCCCTGGCGCCGTCTCCGCGGGACGCGCGGCGGTCGCCATACCGCAGGGGGGGAGGCCGTGCAGCACGAGAACGCCCGGGCGCGCCCGCGGGGCACCCGCGCAGCGCCCGCGGGCACCAGCAGGGCGCCCCTGCGGGCTGCGGCAGCCCCTCCTCCTCCTCCTCCTCCTCCTCCTCCTCCTCCTCCTCCTCCTCCTCCTCCTCCTCCTCCTCCTCCTCCTCCTCCTCCCCCTCCCCCTCCTCCGTCTCCTCCTCCTGCTCCTGCTCCTGCTCCTGCTCCT